ATTTTATATCTTTCTGTTGAGAAACGTCTGTTCCAGTCCTTCGCCCATGTCTGGAATGGGCTGTTCTGTTGCCGAGTTACAGGAATTGCTCTGATACGCTGCATGTACTTTGAAGCACTTACATTCCGTTCTGTTCTACACCTGCACAGTTCTGCGTATTTTCACGCAGAGAGTGTACTTCTCTTCCTGGTGGTGTTTTTATATCCATTTTAGGAGCACTGCTGCCTCTTTCCTCTGCCATATCCTTTGTTGTTTTTTCCAAAGGATGTGATGGGAGTTTCAGGTTTATACCACCGTCACCACCTCGCCTGCCCAAAGAAACATTTTGGTTATCTTCTCAAACAACTACACATCATGTCTACCCCATTTTTATTTCTTTCTTTAAGTGCCTACTGTGTGCCATACCCAAGAACTTCATTGTGCCCAAGACAGAACAAACCCTTGTCACGCCTGTGGCAAGAGGTCTAAAAGCTGCTCTGTGATCATCAGCGGTTGCTTTGTGATCTCTGTTTCAGTGGAAAGACATTGGCCAGGGGTGCCTGGCGGGCTCAGTTGGAAGAGCATGCAACTCTTGATCTCAAGGTCATGAGTTCGAGTCTCACGTTAGGAGTGGAGCCTACTTAAAAGAAAAAGATACGAGCAGAAGAAAACAAGCTGGCAAGATTTCAATTTCTTTTAAGCAAATTATATACAATAAAAAATTGTGGGTTTTCATGACTCCATAAATTTATAGCGTAATGGAAAGACCAGATGGAATTACCCTTTGGGCCCCTCTATTCCAGCACCATCCTGCCCACGCATCTCTTTGCTTAGGTCATTTGGGTTATTTTTCCTAAACAAATGTTTGCAATCCCTCTTGAATGTTGTAATACACTTCAGACTTCTAAGGGAGTTTATATAGGGCCATAAGATGTGAATACTTACGGCATGTTTCTCTGAGAACATTCAGGTTCACAGTAGGATCTCGGTGGCATTCTCCACAATATACCCAGTGTCCCCAAATCCAGCCGGTCCATCGGCCTCCATTCCACATTGTACAGGGACGGGCGTCATTTAGATCATCCACTGCTGGAGAGAGTAAGGTTGAAGCGGTGCTGTCATGCAATTTTAAACACCGCATATACTTCACTTTAGTCTTTGTAATCTTGAACAGGAGGAGCAATTCCTATTTCTCCTTTTCCTATCATTTTGTTTTTGTTTTTATTTCCTCACTGTAAAGAGAAAGGAGGAAGGACGGGAAGAAGGAAGGGAGGATGGGAGGGAAGAAAACTAGTCCATCTCCAGTTACACCACGCGGGCTCCATGGAGCCTGCTGCATTGGAACAGTGGGTTTTATACTATCTCAAGGATCTCTACGTAGTGTAGACATTTTTCTTCAAATACATGGCCATTTTAAAATTTTATTTAAAAAAAAGATTTTGAGAGAGAGCGAGGGAGAGAGAATCTCAAGCAGATTCTGTGCTGAGCACAGAGCCCAACTTGGGGCTTGATCTCACGACCCTGAGAGCATGACCTGAGCCGAAATCAAGAGTCCGGTGCTTAACCAACTGAGCCAACCTGGTGCTCCACGTGGCCTTTTTTTTTTAAAGAATAAACTACATTAGGAACAGTGGGAAAATAATCACTTTATAAATTGGATTCTGTAAGCTTGGAAGGTAAATTTGAAGAATCCTCTCAGAAAATAGAGGAAAAGACACAGAATGGCAGAGTGAGATTATCAGGGATATGAAAGCCAGACTTCAAGAATAATGTTATGTTAATGAAGATGTTAATGAAGAAAGCAGAAAAAAACCTAGAACTGAGACTTTCCCTTTTGTGTGTGTGTCCAAGACGAAAACAATGGAAAAACCAATTGCTAGATACAGGGGGGGGGAAATAGAAATACTTAAAGATACAGGAAACTGGGGTGGAGGAGGTGAGATTTATATAGAAGTCAAAGTAGAGAAATGAAAGTTACCTGCAAGGGAAGAAGAAGTTCAAATTGGCCTCAGGTTTCTTCAGAAGACCAAATACAGGAGGCTGTGGAATTACTGGGAGGGCACTGATATAAACTAGTGAGAATGGGAAAAGGAACAAAAATACCAAGACCCAAAGAGAAACCTAAGGAAGCGGTCACAGACATGAACAATAAAAAAAAAGGTTAAAATAGATTTACTTATAAATAAATATAGATGATAAAACTCGAGGAAATTGCCAAAATTTGTAGCTGAGAAAGTGGAATATGGAAGTATTAAAAGTGGATACTGGTGGTCATGGCCTATTAGCTCATACTGTAAACATTTTAAATGGGACAAAGTAGAATAAATTTGTGTTTGGCTTAATGTATAAAGGAAGTCAGAGGAAAAGTTAATTCTTGATTTTTACCATCAGAAAAATGGGGCATAAAGAGTATTTTTAAAAACATAATTGCCAGGACTATTTAAAAAGATATACTTCATAGTTGAAAAACATATTCGAAATGTTCTTAACATCCTCATCTTTGACCTTTCGGTTAACGCTCAGCACAGCTGTCAGAGTGATCATTTAGAAAAGGACATCAGAGGCTGGACAGGGGAGGCCCCGGGGCTCTAAGGCCTCTGTCCCGCCCATCCCTGGGATGCTGTGGGAGGCTCTTGGTCTTGTTGCAAGAAGGCATTCAAGGAGAGACGGGACACGCAGTTGAGTGGTGTTAAGTGGGAAATCTTATTCAAGTGAGAGTACGCTCTCCAGACGTGGGAACAGATGAGCTCAAGGGGAAGCTGGGTTCGAGTCTCTACATCTTTTACTGACAGTTCTTAGCTAGGAAGTGGAATATATATTACTTGGGGAGGGGCTTCTCGAAGCCTTTTCTCCTTTACCTGATCAGGGTCTCCAGCCTTCTTTGTCTTGGGCCTGTCTGGCTTGATCCGGCTTTTTGTGGCTTTGTTTTGGGAGCGCTGTCAGGACAGGTTTCTAACTTCCCCCTGTAGCTGACCCTGAGTCCCCATTTGCTGGCCTCCAGCATCCTATTAACACCTAGCTAACTGCCTACTCCTACATCTCTACTGCTCAGAGCATTCTCTTTCAGAGTAAGATCCAGTGACCGTGACCAATAAGAGCCTGCACATCCTAGTCCTCTTGCCTCTGATCTCGCACATACTTCTTTCTGCTTCGGCAACAGTATTAATGTGTCTTCAACAGGCCAGGCGTGCCCCCACCTCCGGGCATTTGCTTTTCAGCCTGCCGGAAAGCCTGCCCACAGATCCTTAACCGGGCTCGCTCTTCATCTCTTTGCAGATCTTTCTTCAGTGTCACCTTCTCAGTCAGACATTTCTTAACCACTTTGTATCACATTGCAGTACCGCCCCCACTAGAGTTGCTGTTGCCCCTTTCTTGTCCTCATTAGCGCCCATCACTACCTAAAAACATACTTATCATCTTTCTTCTCTCTCCTCCCGGAGAATTTAAGCTGCACGAATGCAGAGGTTTTGAGAGTTTTGTTCAACTGGTGTATTTCCAGCATCTAGAACAATGCCAGGAGCAAGAGAGGTGTTGAATATTTTGTTGTTGTTGAATGAATGAATAATGGAATCTTATGCAGCAATGACAATGAATGAACTTTGAATGTATCAAGATAGGTGAATCTAAAAGTTGTTAAAGATAACAGGCTCAAAAATGGATTTCTCAGGCTAAGTTGCCCCTTCACCAAACAAAGACTTACTTAGAGTTTCAGCTCTTCCAGAAATGGAATCTTAAACCAGCCAACCAGGAGCCCCGTGATCGTCATTAGTTAAGTAATCTGGCTGATAAATCTTTGCCATCTTCTGTAGGGAAACTAACCTTGTAATAACCAATCCACTTTTGCCAAGTATAACTTCCTTGTTCCTGCTCCCTTCTGCCTGTAAGAGGCTTGCACGTGGTACTTCTTGGAGCTCCTTCCTACCTGCTAGATAGGATACTACTGCCTGATTCATGAAGTCACTGAATAAAGCCAGTAAGGTCTTTAAAACATATTCAGTTGATTTTTTTTTTTTCAAACATCGTTCATGTTGAGCATATGTCACAGGAGAACATACAGCAGATTCCATTTATATAAAGATCCAAAACCTTGCAAAAAAAAAAAAAAAGCCACACTTACTGTGTGGAATACGATACCATCAAGCTAAGCAAGTCAAATGCTTAGCACAATTTAGACAAATGACAGGGGAGCATTGTGGACAGAGCTTCAGAAATTCTGGCCAAATATCTTTTTCAGCAAAGTGTTGGGTGTGTGGGTATTGGTTTCTTTCTTAAACTGTACCTATGCATACATCACCTTCTGGGTATGGTACGCATTAAAATACAAATAATCACAACTAGCTGGTGGGGGCTGTGGCGCACGGATCCTCCTACAGGCGTCTAAATTCAGGTTTTGTTTTTCCCAAATCACCTTGCCTGCCTAGCCCAACGAGCCCCCGGGCGGATACAGGCAGCGGGCACTGGCAGGAGACCACCCGCCCTACTGGGCTCGCGCGCGCCCTCGCGTTACCGCGGACCTCGCGGGGACGGGCAGCGGGTCCCGTGAGCTCGCGGGGGCAGGGAAAGGGCATCTCCCGGGAGTCGCCCAGCCGCCTTCTGGGAAATGTAGTCCGCGCGCGGCCGAGGCATGCCGGGAGTGGTAGTCCTGGGGCTCGCGGGGTTGCGGGAGCGCTCCCGGCCTTCTTGGGGCCGGTGGCGCGGGTCACCCCGGCTGCGTTGGGGCGGCCTGCCTGGGGCGGAG